AAACAATTAAATATGAAAAAAGTGCTAAATTTATTTATCTATATAGTGTTTTCAGGACATATATTATTTTGTTTACATTTCAGAGTGCTCTAGACATTTGATGCTCTTTAAAAAGCTTGCTTTCTAAAATATGTAAATAATTGACACAAATGTATCACATTCCATTTGATAATTGGTTAAAAGAAATTAATGGATCATTCAATAATACGTAACTACAGATAAGAAATCATACAGATGAATGCATAATCTTATCATTTATTTAGTAAGTGTTTATAATAATATTAAGATACTATTTTAGGACATGTTCTGTGCTTCACACCTGTAATCCCAGCACTTTGGGAGGTCTAGGTGGGAGGATCACTTGAAGCCAGAAGTTTTCAAAACTAGCCTGACAACAAAGCAAGACGCTGTCTCTACAAAATAAAAATAAGAAATACTATTTTATACTTATTTATTAAATAAGTAGAAATCATAAAATATCAGTGCTGTTGTCTCTGAGAATGACAAATTTTAAATGTCTCTGGTTACATTGTCAATTATTTTAGTTGTTCTAGGAAAAAAAATGTGATGAGCTATGAAATTACTGGGTATGATTTGGCACAATTATCTTACTCTCTGGAACATTCTCCAAGGAAGTACACATATTTAGAAGTTATTTACTTAAAAAATATTTATAGTAATGCTATTTATGATTGCAAAAACAAAAACACAGCAGGGAAAAACCCAAATGACTAAGAATAGGAGATGGCAAGCAAAAAAAATCATATTATAACTGAAGTTCACTGCAGAGCTATAAAAATGTCAACCATGGGGTTCATGCTGATGCATAAAAATATGAAATAAAATTAATTTTGTCAAGCTGAGTTATAAAAATGTCAACCTTGAAAACCATGTTGATATATAAAAATATAAATTAAAATTAATTTGGAAAAGCAGCACACAGCATTTTCTGATTTTTTTTTCACTATGTGGAAACAACCACCTTTGGTAAACATAAGAAAAATATTTGGTGGGAAATACATAAATGGAGTAGGATTTGTTAGATTCTTATTCGTTTCTTTAATTTTGCCAAAGTTGATATATTTTCTGCAATAAAACAACATGACAGAGCTTTTAGCAGCAGTGCAAGGATTTGATGAATAAACAGATCTGAACCCACCTGGTGTGGTTAGTAAGCACTTGCATTGTCTTCTAACATCGTTCATTCTCCAGGCCTCTGACCACATGACAAACTGGGGAACCATATTTTTCCCACATGTTAACATTTTTACAACACTAACAGTTTTCTATCAACTTTCTTATTTTGGAAAGAATATTTCACTATACAATAAAATGTTCAATCCATTCATATAAGACCAACTTGAATAGTTTATAACAAGCATGTCACCAGAAGCCACAAATCTGTATTTCATGAACAGCACCGTGGGTCATTCTGTATTATAGCAGATGTTAATCTTCCACCTCAATCAAAATACATAAGTCAAAGGAACAAATAGCCCACAGACAATCTGGCTTCAATCACCAGCCACAACTCTTCTGCTGTAAATGACTGCTGAATGAAATTACAGAGGAGGCAAAATCCTAACAGAAGGACAATATTAGAATAATAAAATCAGCTTTCTAGAGATAGACAAGATGTAAAACATAATTTTTCCAGAAGAACAAAATTATTTGTGAGGCTTCCAGTTTTATCTTAGAAATCCAGGCATATTTTGCCTCTACTCTGTAATATATCCATGTTTATTTTAATATAAAAATAATGCTTTGGATCATCAGTTAAATGATTTTAGTCTCCCACCTGACAAAGTGAGAGAATAACAGTATTTCAGGAAGATGCTCATGAGTTTATGCACTTTCAGCACACGGAGGCCCAGTCCTGGGGGAACAACCCCCCAATCTGAGAAGCATGGCACAAGATGGGGAGGATCTGAATTAGAACATTAGCCATGAAAGGAGGGGAAAGAACTGATGTTTGCTTTGCTCATAAGACTGTTTTTGCACTTAAGCCTTTTTTTTTCTGAGAAGAAAATGAAATCAGTAAATCTTTTCCAAGGTAAAGGATGTTTATACTTATTATTAGGAAATAGTTTGGACACAGTTTTGTAAATTGTTTTCAGAATGTTGAGTTGGACTTACACTTAGGGAAAAATAATATATGGCATTAACTGTTGCCTCATAATATTACACTCTTTGTTGACCTACAAAAATTTTTAAAAGATGCCACTAAGTATTTTGCCATCAAATACCTGGTTATTTAAGACAGGATGTCCTCTAGGTTGGATCGGCCGGGAGCAATGGGAGATTGAGGCAGTAGGATTACTTGAAGCCAGGAGTTTGAGATCAGCCTGGCCAACATAGTAAGACCCCTATCTTTGTAAAAGCTTTTAAAATTAGCCAACCATGGTGGCAAGCATCTATGGTCCCAGCTACTTAGGAAGCTGAGGCGGGAGGGTTGTTTGAGCCTGGGAGCCCAAGGCTGCAGTGAGCTATAATCATGACACGCTTCAGCCTGGGCAGCAGAGAAAGATGGTCTCTAAACATTTTTTTAAAAAAAGTTGGATTGTCAGAAATCAGTGAAACCCACTTAATAACATTGCAGAAAATAGAAATAATAATTATTTTTTTATTTTAAAAATAAGAAAAATGACGCTAATTGCATGGTGAGAGCTGATGTGAAGGTGGAGGGAAGCATTTAGAAGAAAGCTCTAAAAGAACATTGACAATACGACAAAGGGCCAACATTGGACAATTGCAGTTTGCATAGTTTTCTACTTAAAATTTTCCCTTAGAGTTTTATGTAAAGATGATAAAGAAGAATGTTTACATAGATAAATGTTTACAGCACCTCTGTGAAGAAGATTATCGCACAAAAATCTTAAAAATTTGATTAGAGTCCAGCCATAGTGGCTCACGCCTGTAATCCCGGCACTTTGAGAGGCGGATGCGGGCAGATCACAAGGTCAGGAGATCGAGACCATCCTGGCCAACATGGTGAAACCCAGTCTCTACTAAAAATACAAATAATAGCTGGGAATGGTGGTACATGCTTGTAATTCCAGCTACTTGGGAGGCTGAGGCAGGGGAATTGCTTGAAACTGTGAGGCGGAGGTTGCAATGAGCCGAGATCACACCACTGTACTCCAGCCTGGTGACAGAGCGAGACTCCATCTAAAANAAAAAAAAAAAAAAAAAAAATCTGACTAGAACAAAGTCTGAGTATAGCAAAATATAACTATAGGTGTAAGACTTTATCTACATGCTAAGTAAACAATGGAACAATTCAATGAACATGAATCAGTGCAAGGTATTCTGGCTTATTAGTACTTGTCCACATGAAAAATTTATGTTGATTATTAAGACTGCTAGTGATAAAGTAGGAGTTCCACCTTTGGATTTCTGCTTGCTGTTTCTTTTGGTGGTCGTTCATTTCCAGGTTTAAATCAGAGCCTGTGGAAGAAAGATGAGAGCACAAGACTATTCTCCAGATTGGAGTGCTAGAATAGAAAACCAATGTGAGTATCGAGATGTATGTGTTGAGTTGTAACCCAAAGTGAGATAATTTAAGATTCAAAAAAGTATCAGGCCGGGTACGGTGGCTCACACCTATAATCCCAGCACTTCGAGAGACAGAGGTCAGTGGATCACCTGAGGTCAAGAGTTCGAAACCAGCCTGGCCAACATGGCAAAATGCTGTCAACTACTAAAAAAACAAAAAATTAGCCAGGCGTGGTGGCGGGAGCCTATAATCCCAGCTACCTGGGAGGCAGAGGTTGCAGTGAGCTGATATTGTGCCACTGCACTCCAGTCTGGGTGACAGAGTGAGACTCGGTCTCAAAAAAAGAAAAAAAAGCAATCAGACTTTGTTTTGGAAGGCGGAGATTATCAAGTCCCATGTCTAGAGCTCTATATAATAGCTCTTCTGGGATACTCTACAGCCAGAAACAAAAGAGTTGGCACATAACAGAGACAAAATTTAAAAGCAAAAGAAATGAAAGGTAGAAGGGAGGGGAAGGTGAGAGTAATTTACTAATATGAGATGTGGGAGTTATGACCTCTGGAAGGAATCTTGGTAAATGAAATTATGATTAAATAGGAGACTATAAGTTCAGATAAATAGGCTACTTACTTGCATACATTTCCACATAGCAATGATAAGTGAAGGCAGGCAGAGAAAGTATGAAGCTATAATAATGAAAGCATATGTAAGAAATATTAACTCGATTTCTTAGAGTTGAATCGTAGATGAAGCAACACTTCTTATATCATCCTTGTTAGCACCAACTATTTATTGAGTATGTGGTAATTGTCTGTCCTAGTAATTACCTGAATGTACCTACCTTTCTTTAGAGCCACTCTATGCATGTGAACAGGGACTGAATCTTGAAATCCTTCACACAGAAAGGATTAATTCATCTAGATCAAAATGGCATTGATGAATGGACTTCCACCATGGTGTATTTCCAATGAGACTTTACTCAGTTTCCAGTTGGTCATGAAATGGTTTCAATGCCAGAAACATTTTTGGAGACTTATGTGAAAAGAAGTATGCAAGGTTCTGACATATCAGAGGTGAGTGGCAGTTCCATTCCTGCCAAAGAATATTTCACAATGATGAAGGACTGGAGCCAGGCTCAATAGCTAAAGCTGGGCTTTGAGTGCTGTTCTCTTATCTCTGAAAAGAGCCTGAAAACGCAGGTTTTGCTGCCAGGGACTATTGCTGATGTAAAGTTGTATTCTTGCTGTGCACTCAGAGAGAGAAAGACACAGCGCCTGGGCCAAGTTCCTCACTGTCTTGGTGGCTGCATCTGCAGTATGCTCAGTCTCACTATAGAATGAAAGGCCAGAGATGCCAATTCAAGGCCTGAAGCTGGACCTGAAGAGGCAGGCCAGGAGAAGGCAAAAGAGGGAGGAGAGGGAATTGGGGAGAGAGAAAACAGCTCACTACAAGTCCCCAGGACTATAAACACTGAGGAAAAACAAACAGTCAACAAATCGAAATGGGAAGATGAATATAAGCAATAAAGCAAAAATAAGAGAAGAATATCTAAATGACTTTTAAACACGTATGTTTATAATCCGCCCAGAAATAAATGAACTCTACAAAATAAGTCATTATGAAAGGAAAATGAAAGTGACTTGTCTCAACAGAAGTTGAAAATGCATCTGATGATATCCAAACATGTTTATGTAAAAAATAAAACCCAAAAAACTCAAAACGGTAACAAGAGATAATGGAACTTCCTTAACCTGAAAAAGCATCTTTAGCAGAGCCCATAGTAAACATGGTAACTTTAACACATTCCCATTAAAGTCAGGAGCAAAATAAGGCTGCCCACAATCCCCTACTATTCAATGTGCGCCAGAGGTTCTAATACACTAAGATTTTAAAAGTTAGGGCTCTCACCTGTAATCCCAACACTCTGGGAAGCCAAGGTGGGTGTATTGCTTGAAGCCAGGAGTTCGAGACCAGCCCGGCTAACATGATGAAACTCTGTCTCTACAAAAAACACAAAAATTTGCTGGGCGTGGTAATGAGTGCCTATAATCCCAGACACTCGGGAGAGTGAGGCAGGAGAATCACTGGAACCTAAAAGGTGGAGGTCACGGTGAGCCACGATAGTGCCACGGCACTCCAGCCCGGGTGACAGAGCGAGACTCTGTCTCAAAATGAATGAATGAATGAGCGAATGAATGAATGAATGAATGAATAAATAAATGTTTTAAAAAAAATAGAGAATTAGGCCAGGTGTGGTGGCTCATGCTGTAATCCCAGCACTTTGGGAGGCAGAGGCCAGAGGATTCTTGAGGCCATGAATTTGAGACCAGCCTGTGCAGCATAGCAAAGCCATATCTTTACAAAAAATTTTAAAAATTAGCTGGACATGGTAGCATTTGCCTGTAGTTATCCTAGCTACTCAGAAGGGAAGGACCAGGAGAATGCAAGGTGAGAGAATCGCCTGAGGCCAAGAGTTCAAAGTTGCAGTGAGTTGTGATCATGCCACTGCACTCCAGCCTGGGTAGGCAGAGTGAAATCTTATTTTTTAAAAACAAAAACAAAACTGTAAGCCCCAAGACAAATGTGGTGGGTGAAATATTTCATGTGTAAAGCTCACAGCCTGCATCCTTGCTTCTGCCTGATCAGCTCCATCATTCTATTTCCTGCCCAACCCCACCTACCCAGGAAGGGAAGCTTTGTCCCTGAGGGCGCTGGTCTTTGGGTGTTTGTAGTACAAGATCAAGAGGGCGGAGAGAGGGATACTGAAAGGGACAGACTGGAGGTAAAAAGCACAGGCTGAGATTTCTTAGGGGTAAGTTGATGTCCATGGCAAGTGCTGACCTGGGAAAGAGAATAGAAGAGAAAAGAAGGAGGGAGGGAGGAGAGTCTCAGCTGGTTCGGAGGGCTGGCGTAGATGGGCTATTTGAATCTCTTCCACTGTCCTTCCACAGATAAAAGAATGAAATTTCTTTTTAATTACATCTACCAGTTGAATTCTTCCCTAATCCATTCCAAAAAGTAGTTATGTGGGTGTCCAAGGTAAAAATGTTCACTTAAAACTATATGTCAGGCCAAGCGCAGTGGCTCACACCTGTAATCCCAGCACTTTGGGAAGCTGGAACAGGTGGATCACCTGAGGTCAGGAGTTTGAGACCAGCCTGGCCAACATGCTGAAACCCTGTCTCTACTAAAAACACAAAAAAATTAGCCAGGCATGATGGCACAGGCCTGTAATACCAGCTACTCGGAGGCTAAGGCACGAGAATCGCTTGAACCTGGGAGGCAGAGGTTGCACTCCAGCCTGAGTGGCGGTGAGACTCCAACTCAAAACAAACAAGCAAACAAAAAACCAACTGTATGTCAGGAGTGCTAACATAGTTCTGGAGAGACATGATCAGGGCCTGAGGTAGGTAATGGGAGAGGAGGGCAGAATTTTTTTTAATAAAATGGAGTGGGGAGAAAATGGTAATGTAGAAAATGTCAATAACAGTTGACAATAGAGTGAGCCTGCAGGAATCAGGGCGAAGGGAATGGCTGGGATGATGGCGGTCTCAAATAAGGGTGGGGGAAAGAGGATGAAAAAAAGAAAAGGATCAGGGAGCAAAAAATGAGGGAGGATGTGGATATGTCAAATGCAGAGGTAGCAGGCACCAGGATGGAAGTTTGAGTGTGCAACTGCAGAGAATGTCGGTATAAGATATATAGATTTTGGAGTAAAACCACAACCACAAACCAGTTAATGTCATATCAATGGAACTGAAAGCTCAGGAAAAGAGCCCGGATTTAGAAGGAACAGAATCTTACCAGCCAGTTGTTGAGGATAAACAGAAGAGAAGAAGATCGGCGAAGGAGACTGAGAAATGGTCAGAGAGGAAGGCAGGGAGTCCAGACAGGGCTGCAGCACTAGTGGGAACCAGGCAAGATGCTGGAGATGCATTTAGGGATGCCTGCCATTCTATATGCTATTTATGCTGGGGTGGGCATCTCTGGCATTCTGAATGTGTGTCTCTGCCCATTTATGGATTAACAGGAGACACCTGAGTCAAGCTGAGCCCATTAATCTTTCCCAAGAATGAGAAACTGGAATTCATGAAGCAAATCAGCCTGTGAGGGGCTTGAACCAGGCTTGAGGTGGCTGGGTTTGGCCATGGTACCTGCTGAGGCAGAGGAAGACAGCACACTGAGAAACAGAGAGGACAGCATGAAAAGGACTGAGAAACGGGAGCCCCTGGAGTGAGGGAGGGTAGCCTCAGACTCAGTGCCGTGCGAGCTTCCTGACTTTGTGTGTTGGGAAAGTCTTCTGATTCTGCCTGAGAAAGTTATCTTTTTTTCTAAGCAAATTCAGAGGGATTTTGTCCCTTATCAAGGCCAAAGGAGAGGATTTAAAAATTGTGCTCGGTATCATCAAATGTTACAGAAGAGCCTTGTAATAATAATGATGTGATAAAATAAAGTTGGACGAGGTGGCTCATGCCTACAATCCCAGTGCTTTGTGAGGCTAAGGCAGGAGGATCACTGGCAGCCAGGAGTTCAAGGTCAGCCTGAGCAATATGGCAAATCCCCATCTCTATCAAAAAACATGAACATTAGCTGTGAGTGGTGGCTCGAGCCTGCACTCCCAGCTACTCGGGAATCTGAGGTGGAAGGAACGCTTGAGCCGAGGAGTTCAAGGCTACAGCGAGCTAGGGTCCTGCCACTGCACTCCAGTCTGGGTGACATCATGAGATCCTGTCTCAAAAATAAATAAATAAATTTGGACAATTCAAGGGCCATTTATGACCTTTCAGAGAGCTGTTTCAGTAGAGTGCAGGGAGCAGATGTCAGACTGCAGGGAGTTAAAGTGTAGGTGTCCTCTGTAGGCAGATTTCTATAGGGTTCTAGTAATTAAGGGAAGAAGAAGGTAGGGCCGAGAAAGACAGAAACGAAGTCAAAGGAGGGCTCCTGTTGCTGTCCGTCAGGGTGGAAAACATTTGCATATCTTTGTAAAGTGAGGGAGGAGAATTAATAGGAAGGAGAGAATGGCTAGTTAGGGAGAACGTATGAGAAACGTTAATGGGCCAGCACTGTATACTGCCCTACATCTGTACAGAACATAGCTGCATTTGCTTCCTATGACTTTGTCCCTGAAATCACAAATGCTGAACTTACACAACCTTCGAGTTTTAGGGGAGCAGAACACCTAGTTAGTTACTCATTTTACTCCAAGAGAAAAGAAATCATATTATTTTAAAAGTTTATTTTATTTTTGTAGTGATGAGCTTGTGCTATGTTGCCTAGTTTGGTCTCAAACTCCTGGGCTCAAAGGATCCTCCCACCTTGGTCTCCCAAAGTGCTAGGATTACAGATGTGAGCCACTGCACCTGGCCAGAAACAACATTATTTTAATGTAATAATAAATAGATGTATTGCCTCTCCTAAATATTGCTGTATAAAAAGACATCCCATTAAAATAATGTTATTTTAATGTAATAATCAATAAACTTATTGTCTCACCTAAATATTGCTGCATTAAAAAACACTTACAACACTTGGAGATTTAACACTGTAATCTATTATTTCCCAGGAGTATTTAGGCTGGCTGGATGGTTCTGCTGATCTGAGCCAGCTCAGCTGACATCACTGGGCTCCTTCATTTATGCTGACCACAGATGGCCAGCTGGTGGGCTGGCTGAGCACTGTGTGCTCTCTCATACTAGGGCCTCACATGGAGCAACTGGCCGTGTTCCATTCCCCAGTAGGCATGCTTATTCTTCTGGCGATCACATAGAAGCATGGCATAGATAGGAATATGTAAGGCCTTGAGAGCCTCAGCTTGGAACTGGCACACCATCACTTCTCCCTTTCTATTGGCCAAAGTAAAAATAAGGGCATCCCTGATTCCTGCCTTATGATAGGAAGAAATGCAAAGTAACATTGGAAGGGGTATGGAAAAGGGAGATCACTAATTGAGATTATTAATTACATTGATCTACGGCACTTACAAAGACGTGCGTTATTTTCTGTTCAGACAGAGTTAAGTGTGATCTGGGAGGCCTTTATCAACTGAGATGGGCCCTAAGGTTAAAGCTGGCCTGGCCACTTTCTAAATTCTTACAACTATGAGAAAAATCACACTCTTACAATCTCCCTAACAATATGAGCCATCAGGCTGATTTACAACTCGCCACAACTCTGATGGAACAGAGGACTGGCCCTACCACATACGTTTCTGATAAACGATTACAGGCCTCATACCAGTTTCAGCCAGTGTATAGAGGCTGCACACAAACTGTCTTTGTGTCCTTTAGTTTACCTTTTGACACAGAAAGTGTCAAATTCCACCTCATTTTAATACTAAAACTCTTCTCTGAAGTGAACATGGGGTGTATGTTACATATATGCTTACCCATTGCACATGCGCATGGCTCCTCTCATAAATATGCATACCTGCTATAAACCTGCTCAATCTGTATGACACCAGCCCTACGAGGCATGAAATCCAACATGTCCTTCTTCTCTTGGGAAAGAGACCGCCTTCCAAGGTGGAGACTATATCTTCCCAGCTTGCAAGCCAATATCACCATTAAAGTACTCCTTTCTGGTCGGGTGTGGTGGCTCACGCCTGTAATCCCAGCACTTTGGGAGGCAGAGGCGGGTGGATCACAAGGAGTTCAAAACCAGACTGGCCAACAGGGTAAAACCTCATCTCTACTAAAAAATACAAAAATTAGCTGGGCATGGTGGCTTGTGCCTGTAATCCCAGCTACTTGGGAGGCTCAGGTAGAATTGCTTGAACCAGAACCCAGGAAGTGGAGGTTGCAGTGAGCCGAGGCCACACCACTGCACTGCAGCCTCAGTTACAGAGTGAGGCTCCATCTCAAAAAAAAAAAAAAAAAAAAAAAAAAAAAGAGCCCATCAAAAAAAAAAAAAAAAAAAAAAAAAAAAAGGAACTCCTTTCTACTATCTAGCCATCCTGGTGGTCTTTTGGGTGATAAAGGAAATGTCAGAAATATCAACAGAGGTTTCTTAAGAAGATCACAAGCAGCTCAGTGGTTTAGTGCTGAAATACAAGGTTGAAAAGCTAGGAACAACTTCCTTACTCATATTTTATGTTGTTAGCTCAAGTAGATTAAATTGGTGAGTTTAGTTCCATTCTGGGATATTACAGCTGGGGTGTTTTCCAATACCAACAA